AGTAGTAGTAGTAGTAGTAGTAGTAGTAGTAGTAGTAGTAGTAGTAGGGGTAGTAGTAGTAGCAGGTAGTAAGAGGAGTAGGAGCAGGAGTAGCAGTAGCAGTAGCAGTAGCAATAGCAGGAGGAGCAGCAGCAGCAGGAGGAGCAGGAGCAGTAGGAGTAATAGTAGTAGTAGTAGTAGTAGCAGTAGTAGTAGTAGTAGTAGTAGTAGTAGTAGTATGAGGAGTAGTAGTAGTAGCAGCAGTAGCAGCAGTAGTAAAAGTGCGGTAGCGCTAGCGGCAGAGGGTCATGGTCGTGGTAGTGGTAGTGGAAGTAGTGTGGAATAGTGTGGTAGTGGTAGGAGGGGTATTAGCAGGAGCATTAGTATGTAGGGGGAGGTGTCGTCCTCCTCCTCCTTCTCCTCCTCCTCCTGCTCCGCCTCCTCCTCCTCCTCCCCCGCCTCCTCCTCCTCCTCCTTGTCGTCGTCGTAGTAGTAGGATGGGTAGTAGAGATAGTAAGAGTATATAGTAGGAGGCAGTAGCAGTGGCAGCTGCGGAGCAGTAGCTGTAGCAACAGCAGCTGTGCTAGAACTATAACCACCTCCCTGTCACCAAGAAATGTCAACTATCTTCTCATCTCTAAAATACTTGACGCATTTCCCAAATCAAGCCCCTACTCTTCCACATTTCCACTCACTACGCAAGCCAACTTTGACACCCACTTCTCTTGATTGAGAGCATGCACTGTAATTCAGCAGGCTTTGCTCCTGAGATATGATGTCAGTCGACTTATTGCTCACGATGAAGTGATCTTTTGAACGAACCGCCTTGCTGTTTTGCTGCAGTTGTAGTAAATTCGTTCGCCATGAGTTGCTTTGCCTTGCGTGTCAGCTAGAAACCGTGGCTGAGGCTTCGGGCCAAGGATAAAGTTCTGGGTTTTCTTGAAGAATTGCAAAAAAGCATTGGACTGTTGTGAATTGCATTGTTTGCTCGTCCTAGGGCGCTTTGCAGGCATGTCTGGGGAGGCTTTGTGAGTAGTTCCAAGTGCTCACACGAGGCTTGTTCAGATTTGGCTTGTCCCGTGCAGGAGCGGGATGTGCCAAAACAATCCCAGGAGAGGAGCTCAGCGTGAGATTTGCAGTTGGGCAACAAAGCACCAACAGCATAAAGCATGGGTTACCCTGTATCCACCAAATTCAACATTTGTTTGGCTGCATTTGAATGCCAAGGCATATCCAAACCCTCGTGAAGGGCTTGCAGCCGAAAAGATAGCCATGGAGGCCCCAACTTCCACAGTTGACTATAGAGTTTCACGCAAGATATTCACGATTCTCGTGTCTGGCTGGAGTTGGGCTTAACATTCTTTGCAGTTTTTGCGCTGAGTTTGCTGATGTTTGTGCACAAATTGCAGCTCATATGACCCGTAGGAGCGACCAGCGCCATGCATGCATGACCTTCCGTTGCGTCAGTACCTGGACACGTGCGCAGGTTAAAGCACTCGAGCTTCATGGTTTGTCAGGTCTGTGAGTTTGCTTTTCTTTTTCCTCAGGTATGTAGTTCCTACGTTGCTGCCTGGGATGAACGCAGTTGCAGAGGCCTGCAGGGACTTGTGGTTGCTGCGAGATGACCCATTTCAGCTCAAACACGGTCAAACACAGATCCTCATCCAGGCTCGCCCGGAAAATCCGGTGGAATGGTTGGCCTACTATTTGCTCAAGAACAACACCGCTGGTCATTGGCTTATTGATCATTTTGATAGTTTTTCATAGTTTGTTTCGGTATGTCCACATTCAGCAGCAAAACAAACCAAGGTAAAAAAGCGGATGACAAGAAGGCTGGAGCTTTCGTGGGGACTAGAGCTGCTGCCTGTTTGAGCTCTTGTTCCTTTAGATTGTCAGACCATTCCCTTTTTTTGGTCTTTGTTTGTTTGTGTTTCTGGTTTGATTCTAGTTTGAGGTGTTTGAGGGCAACCTAAGTTCCTCATGCTTGGCTGCATCTTCCCGGCTGGGTTAACCAGACTACTTATAACTTATACTTTTTCAGTTGTGATAACTAACAGTCTGTTCCTCCTTTACATATATATTATATACAAAAAAGGAGGCTTTCGCACCAAGGGTGAATTAAATAGACAGAAGGGTGCGCAGTTATTGCACTTGATGCAGACACTAGAAAGCGTGAGATTATATATAGTAAGGGTCAGCAAAGAATTGATAGGCCAAAGAGTACAAGCCAACATGCCCAAACAGGAGACCATGCCAAGAAAAAGGCACACTCTGCAATAATGGAACAAGGCCAGGATCAAAGAAGAATTGCAACGAATTATATAGCTGCTGCCATAGCACAATATTGAAGAAGGACCATACAAAGGAACCTCGGACGATGGACGACTACACAAGCAAAGAGATGGACCTGGGATCTCAAAATGCAGGTTCTAGCTAAAAAAGCACAAATACCCTCACCACAACTCACTACAACACAATCTGACAAGTGATAGCGCATTGATCAGATCCTGATGTGATAGATTGTGATAGTATTTTTTCCATGGCTTGTATACGTGTAGTAGATTTGTAAAGAATCTCAAAGCAGTTTGCCTTTACATGCCATGCTTGACGGCTTATACAAATGGTTGTGAATTATGAGACCATGAGCATTGCATAACATTAAAAGACTTTGTCGAACAACATCAAACAACGCAGGCTGAAGATCCTCCACCTGAGTCATGACTGGCTTAACCTTGACAGCTCGAAAGGTCTTGCCGCACTTGCCGCATGCAGTCTTGGAAGTACCCTCGTTGCGGCATTCCTTTTGTTGCGGTCTTTTTTCGCTCATGTTGCACCATGTTGCGCTTTGAGTTTCACATTTCAGCTTCGGAAGCAACAGGCAAAGCTTCGATACACGTTGACAGACTGCAAAGCGGCTCACAGCGTAGATGATTGTCCCGGAATGGTCGTCCTGGATGCAGAATTATGCTTGCTGGCACCGCCAGATGATGAAGAGGAGCCATGCTGCGGGCTTTGCGCCATTAGACAGATTGAAAGCCAATCTGTCTCAGGAAGAGCGGAGGGCGCAAAGAGCCAGGATGCCTAAGTCCTTCAGTAGAAGTTCTAGAAACTTCTAGATTCTAGGGGGTCGAATCTTGCCAAGGCCTCAAAACTGCTTGATCCGGTAGAACACTTGGAACAGTGGCGTGTGATTTGCCAGCTCCTCAGCGCTCGTGTCGTTCAAACGTCACGGCTTTAGAGTCCAATCGCAAAAATGACACCTGTAGTAAAGTAGTAAGTTGCGCTGGACCTGTAGTTATTGTAACTGGGGAGCAACATGACTCGCAAAGTGCTGTCTAGCTTGCCAAATGATTTAATACCAGCGACCAGTGGTTCGAATCAGCGACCACGAACCAGCGACCAGATTTCGCGAATCAGCGACCAGCTGGGTCACGAATCAGCGACCACAAACCAGCGACCAGGTACCTGCGACCCGTTTTCGCGAAGTACCGACCAGGTAGCAGTGGTTCCGAATCAGCGACCAGGTACCAGGTACGAGCAACAGGGCTTGGCATCTGACGGGATGCCGATTGGCTGGGCAGTCGGTGGCACTAGGGCCGTACTAGGGGCTCTTACGGTTATCGTTAAGGCTCGGTGTTTGATCGAGGTGTTCCATCAGCGTGTCCGCTACTCACGCATGCCTCTCGTGATCTGCGAAGTGCGTTTCGACTGGCTTGCGCACAAAATCTGGCTTAGGGCTTCACTTCTTTAGGGCTTGCTTGGGCTTTGTTTAGGGCTTGGCTTCTTTAGGGCTTGTTTGGGCGTTGTTTAGGGCTTAACTCCTTTAGGGATTGTTTTGGGTTGTTTTTAGGGCTTGCCTTCTTTAGGGGGGTTCCTTGGGCTTCTTTTGGGCTTGATTGGGCTTGGTTTGAGAGCTCGGCTTCTTGAGGGCTGTTTGGCCTTGGTTTGGGGCTTGGCTTCTGTAGGCTTTGTTTTGGCTTGTTTAAGGTTGGCTTGGGGCTTGACTTCTTTGGGGTTTGTTTAGGCTTGGCTTCAGGCTTCACTCCTTTAGGGGTTGTTCTGGCTTTGTTTATGGCTAGGCTTTTGAAGGCAGGTTCGTTTGGGCTTGGTTTCGGGCTTGACTTCTTAACTTTAGGGTTTGTCTAGGCTTGGTTTAGGGCTGCGCTCTTTTAGGGTTTGTTTGGGCTTCGTTTAAGGCTTGTCTTCTTCAGGCTTTGGTTGGGCTTGGTTTACGGCTTGGCTCCCTGAGGGTTTGTTTTGGTGGCTTGTTTTTTTGCTTGAACTCTTTAGGGGGGTTCCTTGGGCTTGGGTTGGGGCTTGGCTTCTTTGGGGGTTGTTTGTGCTTGGCTTGGGGTTGGCTTCTTTAGGGTTTCGTCAGGTTTGGTTTAGGGTTTGGCCTATTCAGCGTTTGGTTGGGCTTTGTTTAGGGCTTGGCTTGTTTAGGCTTTTTGAGGGTTGGTTTCGCCCCAGGCTTCAATCTTTCCAAATGGGAAAATATTCTTCCAAAGGACAAAGCACAAGTACGCGAAGGGGGTTCGCCCCAAGTGTCAATCCTGCCAAAGGGGAAAATGATTTTTCCAAAGGATAAAATAGAATTACGCCAAGGGGTTCGCCCCAAGCTTCAATTATGCAAAAGGGTAAAGTTACCTTCCAAAAGAAAAGCAAAAGTACACGCAAGTGGTTGTAAGGTTTGAGGACGCCTAAGCCGAACAAATTATGGACCTCAAAAGCTTCAAACCCTGGGGAAAACAACTGTGTTGGTGCAGATTGGGCGCAGGCCCTAAAGTTTAGGGCTTGGCTTCTTTAGGCTTTGGCTTGTTTAGGGTTGGTTTAGGGCTTGACTTCTTAGGGTGGTTTCAGGATTCACTTCTGTCGGGATTGTTGTGGCTTTGTTTAGGGCTTGGCTTCTTTAGGCGGGTTTGTTTGGGCTTCGCTTAGGGCTTGGCCGGGCTTGGCTTTTTGGGGGGTTGTTTGTGCTTGGTTTGGAGTTGACTTCTTTAGGGTTTCTTGGGCTTGGTTTAAGCTTCTTTATTTATAAGGTTTGTTTGTGGTTGGTTTAGGGTGAACTTCTTTAGGGTTTCTTCGGCCCAGGGTTTGTTTGGTTTTCTTTAGCTTGCTTCCGCCGGCTTCCGCCTGCCGCGGTGACCAATTCGGGTTGGTGGAGAGAATTCCGAATCAGCGACCAGCTGGTGACCAGTTGGTGACCGATTCGGGTTGGTTGGAAGGTTCGGCTTTTCTCCGGCGGCTTTGTTGCTCCCGCCTGCCGCAGTGACCGATTCGGGTTGGTGGAGAGAACTCCGAATCAGCGACCGGTTGGTGACTGATTCGGGTTGGCGACCGATCCCTGGCGACCGATTCCTGGCGACCGGTGACCGACTCCAACTTCTTGGTGACCGACTCCTGGCGTCTGATTCGGCGTTCTGGTGGCCGATTCCTGGCGTCCGATTCGTCCGCCGCCCAGAACTAGGCGGTGCTATGTGCACATATAGATGGTGACCGGAGGACACCAAGACAATATGTTGCGCTTGCATGGCTTAGCCGCGCATGCTGCAAGTGCTGGCAACGCGTGCAGCTGAGTGCAGACAAGGCAAGACAACAAGACAACCACAGACCAAACGCGTCCGAAAAGTCGGAAACACACTGCAAACACTCCCTGAGCAATAACTGTAGCCATTAATTTCCATAGGTCTGGGTGATGTTGCTCAAATAAGATAAAGCTTCGGTGGTTGCCAGCGGCAACAGCCAGACAATACAATACAATAGTAGTGTTGCAGCCGTGGCCATACAGGGGTCAGGGGGAAAGGATAAAGTTGATTGACCTCTGCAATCATCCGCAGGCATTGATTTCCATCGCTTTCGGGCAAAGTGTCCAGACAAGTGTAAGGCTGGGTGTCATCTCTTTTGTTTTGTGCATGTTTTTGTTTTTGGACAGGAGCTTATTCGGCAAGGAATTCCTGAATTTCTGCGAGGTTCAGTTCGGCACCAGTCCCATTGATTGGCGAGCTGCGGAAATCTGATGTTTGCACATAAGGTGTGGCAGAAGTTGGCACTGTCACGGGAACTGCTTCACAAACATCCAAAGGAACCAGTCACTTTACCACCATGTATATACCTCAAACAGTTCTTCTGCGCAATCTGTGTGAGGACATTTATGAGCAGATGCGGCGTGTACAGACAGCCCCGTGTGAAGGTGATATTGCCAGTTTCTGAGTTGTCCGCAGGTGTGATATGTGTTGTTTCTCGTAGTGTCCGGAATTTGAAGAGACAAGTAAGTAGTTTGTGGGCAAAAACATTCTAAAAATTATACGAAAAAATAACTTTCGCAGTGCAACACCTTAAACAAAGAATCAATACGTTCGGCCCTTTGAGTGGGACGGCCATGGACGGCCATGCTACTACTGCAAATGACGCTCACAATGCCATTGTTTGCAAGGTCAGAGACATAAATCGGACATTTCCCAAGCACGTTCTCTACAGAGTCTGGGACACAGGGGCCTTATGTGCAGCATATCAACCTCCTCCTTGAACAGACTCCGCTAGGAGTCTTGTGTGAGCCGTGAGCATTTTCAAGCTTAGGACAAGCAGGGTCTTGGACAGCAACAGCTTTTGAATGTGCTTCGGGCCTATTCCATTTTTAACGCAGAGGTTGGATACTGTGGGGGGCCAAGGTTTGCATGCTTGCCGGCAACCAAGCATGACAGAACAAGCAACCGCAAGAGTGGATGGTGCAGGCCAAGGCATGGGCTTCATATGTGGTGTGTTGCTCATGTACATGGGTGAAGACGATGCGCCTTGGGCAGATTTTACTTGAACTTGCCGCAAAATCTTGCTGTTGGACAATCTTGAAGTCATTCCTCCAGGCTTTTCTCATGCTAATCTCTTTGCTGGAGAACTACCGCATGGCTGGCCTCTTCATGTCAAGGGCCCAAATTTGTTGTCGAAGATGTCGCCAAAGCGGACTGTCTCAGACTCAGTGGCAAGCACCACAGTTGCTGAGGCCAAACCTCCCGCTCTTGAACAAGTACTTTTTCCAACTTCAAAGATTGCTTGAGATCAACCTGCCAGAGCCACAGAGTACATGATGGTTGGAAGATGCCGACTAGTTTGAAGTCGTGGAGCCAGCAATTTGAGGCTCATGCCTCTGATGGGGGTCTGCGTTGACCCTCTTTTGCACTCGTGATACTCATGTGAATTCAAGGGTGATCACGCTTGAGGCCTCTTTTGCATGAGCATCTCACAGAACAAGGTCGAAATGGCAAGACGAGCCAGCACTTGCTGTGAATTATATAGATGCTCAATTGCCCGCCCGCCAGGTGTTGAACCTACAATGTATGCATCTCAATGGTTCATGACTGTTGGAACCTCAAGTTACTGCTGAATTCTACTTCTGAAATACCTCACCCAACATTACATTTGCAGGTTTGCATCTACAACTTTCCCTTCTCTACTGTGGTGCGAGTCTGGGACATCTTCCTTGCAGAAGGGGTGCCTCATATGCATATGGCATGTGAATACCCGTTTCAGATGCTGATTCCTGTGACAAAGACTCATGGACTCACGGCTTACAAACAGTATATAATTATTATTAATTATTGCAGTGTTCTTCCCCCAGCTCAGGTCAAAATAATTTTTCGCATCGCCCTGGCTTTACTCAAGTGCCTAGGTGAAAGTTTGGATCGTCAAGATTTGTCGTTGTTGCTGCTGGAAGCAGGTTTCCCCAAATTAAACGTTTGGGAACCAAATCATTAAGCCTGAGCCCTACTGAGTCCTAGCCTAAGCAGCTACTTGAGCTTAGTAGCTTAAATACCTACTTAGCCTACTGGCTACTTGAGCCTACCCCACCAAAAGGAACACATAAAAACATATATTTAAGGATGACAAGCCTGACGCAGTTGTGGCCACGAGGTTGAATCAGGAAGCCCTGCTACATCAGTCCTTCGAGCAGATCCTGCAGACCCTGAAACAGGACCATCGAAAGACAATGAAGTTACAGTATTTGTATTAGTACACATTATTCATAAGAAACTATAAGATCTTGAAAGTATCACTCGCTTGTCACAGGCCCCAAGTGCTGTCGAGTCAGAAGTGCGACTCTGGCCAATTCTTTTGTTCTGTGATGAGATGCTTCAGCCAAATGGTACAGGCCACGCTAACTGCCGCTAGCTAGGCTCATCAAAACCGCTCTGAACATCAAGCTCAAGAATAAGACCCTGAAAGACATAGAGCTGCTGCCTCAGCACTATGCACGGAACTGCGCTGCCTTGAGCACTGCCATCCAGGTCAGAATGGCTTTCACAAATGTCACCTGGCCTTTAGCCACTTTACACCTTTTGAAGCCTGGGGTGCTTTGAGTCCGGCCAAATAGCGCAAGTACAAAGACTGCTTGTACAAAGGGCTTCAGGGCTTGTACAAAGATCGGTTGCAAGTCACGACTTACAAAATGAGAAGTCTTGCAACGTACATCCTGCTTCATGGATTCGAATCCATTGAATGACAATCTCTGTCTATTTTCATAGGTCCTTTTCTATTTGGCTTTTGTATCGGACAGACCTATAGCCTTTTGACCCAGGTATAGACCTGCGCCTTGCAAAGTTATTTACGGTCCCCTCACTGAAAACTCTTCAAGAAGGACATTTGACGCTCCAAAGTGATAAATCGATTGGGAATCTGGAGGTATAGTGCTAAATACCATGCCAGGTACTTCCAGTGAGTAGGGAATCTGGAGGAAGAATCAAGGACCACAAGTTGATGAGCCCAGCTGTGAGCAGCTGGCTGCTTCAATGCTCTCTCCCGATCCCGATTGTATAGGTGTTTGTCCGACTGTCCTTCCCGCTGGGGTGTTTTTTGTTCACGCAGATATCAACTGTTCCCTTTATTATATGTTCCCGCAGTCGTGGACAGGTCTTTTCCCGGCTTTTTGTGGAGATTTGGACCAATCATGTTTGCTCCCTGTGTTTTGTTTCTACAGATTGCACAGCTCTTTTCCTGGTGTGGTGTGGATTCGTTTCTTTCCCCTTTGTGGTATGTTTCGAGGAATGGGATGGAATGGGTGTTTTTGGTTCCGGCAAGGCTGTTTTTTGTTATGCATTGGTGTTTATGCTCCCCAGGAACAGTTCTTTTCTTCTGGAATGGCTTTTAAGGTTCGGGACAAGGTATTGATTGTTCCAGAAAAAGGACTATGACGGGCATGCTACATGACAAAACATCGTTTGATTTGTACTGATGTGTGATGCATTTCGTTAAACCTTGCAGCTCCATAGTTTGGTAGCCGTGTAGCGACATCATGGCAGAAGACAAGGACTGAAATTCAATTTTCTGCACTTCCAGGAGGACCCATGTTTTTCATGCTGCTTCCAGGAGAAAGACAAGAAGGATGCCGATGAAAAGAAAGAAACCAAAGAGGACAAACCCAAAGAGGTGAAGAAGGCGCGGCTTCAGTCCTGCAGCCCCATGAACTTAGAGGAAAGGGCATTGCTAAGTGTTACTACTTTGGGACATACTTTGGGACATATATGTATTGAACCTGGCCAGGACAGGCGGGATGTGGTCGTCCATCCCATTGTTCTTCTTGGCGTGGTTGATCACTACAATCGAGCAGCTGCCTTTGTTTGTGTTACCCTGCAAGCGACATGAAGTTCCTTGAGTCAATGTGTTTTCGCACTGTTCAAGCTATCCTAAGCGGCACTTAGGCCTTCTTGATGTTTCCTCCGTTTTGTTTTGCCTGAGAACAACTCAGGTGGCCAAAGGCACCACGAAGCGGGTCGTTGGCACACTGGTTGGCGAGGCAAGTGTCCTGCATGTGTGGCAGTGCCATACTGTGGTGGCATTTGCAATGTGATGCTAAAACTTTGGCATTGTCGAAAAATATCAATGACATACATTAACATATACCAACACTTCTGACTGAACTGTTTGACATTGTTGGACAACAAGTCAGCCTTGTGTTTGTCAGCCTATAGTGTGAGGTTTCGGACTATAGCCTGCACATCACCAATTGCTTTGCGGTGCCGTTCGAGGAAGATCCTCGAGATCCTCAGGTTTCACTGCAGTGACCTGATGAAAGACCACACATCATTTGGTGTTGTAGCGACAAGGTTTGGTTCTTGGATCACAACTTCCACGAGTCAATGTTTGCGATGTTCAAGAAGGCCTTGACAGCTTTGATGTTTAGATCCTTGAAGGCCTTGACAGCTTTCAAGCTGGTGCTGGCGAGGTAAACACAAAGGAACGCATCGTTGGCTGGTACTCAACTGGTCCGAAGATCAAGCCATCGGACCTGAGCATTCACGAGCTATACCGACGGTTGGAGACCCAGGAGCCAGAAACGGAGATGGTGAAGTGACAAAACACAAGTCTGGTCAAACCTTATAAAGATGGTATGGAACTGGTTGGAGGTATTGCCCCGAGCCAGTGCTAGTTGTGATGGACGTGCAGCCAAAGGCGAGCTCTCTCCATGAAGCAGATGCAATTAAATCTAGCAGGGCCACATGCAAATAGAGTCAATTGCTAGCATTTAACAATAGCTTTAGTGAAAGTAGCAGGAGAGGTGACTAGCTCCTTTTTTTGACAATACCAGGACGTGCATTTTTGTCCAATCCAGACAGAAACAAGAAGACAGAAACAAGATTCAACCAGGCGAATATGAGATAATATGAATACCATTAAACAAGGGGTTTGCCCGGGCTTAGCTGCTGTTTTGACTACAAAGTGGACGCCCAGATCACATCATGAAAGCATGCCAATAGATTTGCCCACCGCGACAGCTTCCCAATGAATTTCTTGTGCTTACCATTTTGTACACATCATGCTGCTCACTCTGGTTTCAGATACTTAAATATATACCTCTTGGCATTGACTCATTGACACGAAGAAGTGAAGAAGTTTTGTCCGCTACTCACAGGTGCATATACACATACTGTATAATATATATTGTAGTGTCTTGTGCTCCTAGGGCAGGTGTGGTGGACACATAATCATCATAATCATTCATGTCAGTTGATCTTGACTTGAGCTGTGGCATGCGACATGTACATGTGCCGCCGCCGCCGCTTATGCTCAAGTGACCAAAAAGGGCTTCAGGTGAATGTCTTTCCCTGGAGTGGCCAGGGGTCCGTTTTATGCCCATGGCGGCGCAAAGTTTCAGGGAGCGTCACGGCCTGCAGGATGATGCAGATTTCGCCTTCGACTTCCTGGACTTCGCCGAGGCAGTTGGGGAGGGTGCCCGGAAGTTGCTCATGCCTGGCTCGAGTGTCGAGCTCGCGTCAAGCGGTGATGTTCGAGTTGTGATTGCCCAGCATGGTGGGGTGCATTCTCCTCCGCTCAAGGCGTTGGGGGAAGCCATCGGTGCGTCTGTCGTGCGCTCCTACTTTCCACCCTCCCCCGCGTGTGGCGCGGCTCCCACAGAAGCGGCCTGCTCCAGCCAATACTCCTTTCCCGCGCAATGAGGCATTCAAGACCACGCTGGAGGCAGTGTTCTTCCAGCCAGCACTTACAAGGACGACCTGGCCAAGAGTCGTACCACAGTTGAGCGGTGGTGCAGAAGCTTCTGGCCTCACGTGAGCGTGAGACCCTGAAGAAGGTCCAAGCAACCTGGGTGGAACTTTTGGATTGGTGTTGAGCTGAGGCTCTCGATGTGGCCAACCTCTCTGGACGCCCTGGTGTCAGCCAAATCATGGAGGCAGGTGGTGGTGGCTTGGGGTTTCTAAGCCAGGCTTACCCCCACCGAGACTTGTGCGATTGGCAATTGGTTGGATTCCTTGGAGCTCAGCGGGAACCAGATGCCACACCGCTATTTTCGGCAGAAGCTCGTTGCGGCTCTGTCTTCGAGTCCTGCTTTACGACCATGGGGTCAAACAGTGGGATGAGGTCTCCCCCGGTCTTGCTGAGGAGGTGCAGGCCCATGTCGCCATACATACTTCGAATGGATCCCCACATCGGCCGACTGGAGTGCTGAATGTTGTAGTGTCTTGTGCTCCTAGGGCAGGTGTGGTGGACACTATAATCATTCATGTCAGTTGATCTTAACTTGAGCTGTGGCATGCAACATGTACATGTGCCGCCGCCGCCGCTTACGCTATCTTATGCTCAAGTGACCCAAAAAGGCTTCAGGTGAATTTCTTTCCCCGCCCACCGTACCCTGAAACAGTTTGATGTTGATTTCCTTTGATTTCAGGGGGCGCCAGCAGAAAGCCAAGGCGAGGAGCTAATTGCTCCGACCGGCGGGTGATGCCCGCCAGGTGTCCTGTTTGGGCACCCTTGCCCCGTGTGCGGCGCCGGGTGGGCTAACTCTCGGGATAGATTCAGTCGGCTCTTTTTTTTGCGGTTGGGTAGTGGGCGGTGTTGAGAGTTCTCTCCACTGCCGGTGTATGGAGTTCACCCATTATAGGTGCACAAACCAACGCAAATCCGAGGAGGGCCTCTGATGACTGAAAGAGTTCTACCCCAGCTCCCTGCGCGAACTGTGGAAAAAGAAGGGAGCTGCGCTTCAGTCGACTGATATGAAAGTATATATATAATATTTATGTAACATTTATGTACATATGCCACTCCACTGAAAAGTCTACCTTTCTTGTCTGTTTTGTGAGAGTGTTTTTTAGACATGTTGAATCTTGGATCAGAGACTATATACATGGAATAAATTTCGCCACAGAAACCATTTGCAAACGTTTGCAATGGCTGACCGGCCCCCAAACATGCCACAATATCAATCAAATTATGAAGAGCATTGCCACATCAGAAGCAATCTTTCAATTGATTGCCCTTTTGTCAGAGACTGTTAGAGTATAGCGTTTGGTGGCTGATTCTTTTTCAGCTTGACTAAAACCATTATGATATTTGGAATCATTAGTCTTAAAGTGTCCGTGCTTCAACATCTATACTCTTTTGGCTCTTGTTAGTTCCCTTTTCCAGCGTCCCACATTAACAAACCATTTATATTCCTTAATAATCTTTAACAAACATCACACACACAAGAGAAGACTGCTGCTTATGAGTCAACTTTACCAGCAAATTTATACCATACGTTAATAGATATTTGTAGTGTTTATTAAACAGAAAACAACCGCGCGTATTTTTACTGTTTCCCCTAAACAGTAAGTGTAAGCCTTGTTCTGTTCTATTTCCAAGTGTACCTCCCTGTTATCAACAAAGTTATGGAGATCCCAGCCGGCGGGATTGTTCTACACTGGTTTCGAAGGTCAGTATGAACTTCATTATAATAGAGTTTTTGATTTATGTAACGGATTGACAGTTTATTGGTTGAAAATGAGCATTGCTTTTGACATGTCGTTGTATGTTTTCGTTGCCTCGGCTGTTAAAATGTATACAGTATACAGTATACAGGCGTTGATTGAGTTTGTAGAACCCCTTCTCAGTATATTTCAGAAAGTCATCACTGCCTTCGATCATCCTACATCCATTGGGTTCATCTCTGGTGTTGATGTGACAGTCTGGAGAAGCCTCAACATTTAATGTATATTCATTGTCCATACCAAGCTTTCTGGCTGTTAGTGCCCTTGACATCTCTGTTTAGCGCGTAGATGTGGTCATCCTCAATCAACCCCAAAAATGTTCATATATGATGGTCTTGTTTGGAAGACTTATAGGAGTACATCACATCAGACTACCCATACAATCAAAGGTTCTGGCTGATACATGGATTCTTTGAACACCTAGTTCATATCATTCATTTGTTTCGAACTCTTCATTGGTTTTTTGAATGAGTTCTAGAACTTTATCTCTGGTCATCTTCTTCGTGAGGGCTCATTGCCATAAAAGACTATTCAATGTATGTATCCAGCGCTCACTCTTGATGTAGTGCTTTACCTTGATGGCTTCTTCAAACGTGGCAACGTTCTTCAGAATGTGACTGATATTGTGGTATGTTTGGTGGCCGGTCAGCCATTGCAACGTTTGCAATCGGTTCCTGTGGCAACATTTGTTCCAAGTAGTACCTGGGTCAAGATTCAAGGTCCAAGATTCAAGGCTCAATAGCTAAGATTCAAGACTCAAGATTCAATCATACTTTACTTCGAGTGATCCATGACGTTTCAATCTGACAATTTTTGTGGCATGTATTGAAACATTATTGCGGCGTTCTTTCTGGCATATCTTCTTGCTATTCTTTCTGACATTTGTTTTGCATATCTTCTGACATTTTTTGTCATGTTTTCCGACATTCTTTTTTGGCATAGTTTCTGACATTCTTTCATCTGGCATTCTTTCTGGCATTATTTCCGGCATATCTTCTGACGTTCTTTCTGGCATCTCTTCTGGCATGCTTTCTGGCGTGTCTTCTGACATTCTATTTGGCATAGTTTCTGACATTCTTTCTTGCATCTCTTCTGAAAGTGTGACAGTCAAACTCTCTCTGACATTTTTCTCGCATATCTTTTGACATTCTTTCTGGCATATCTTCTGACACTCTTTCCATATTCTTTTTGGCATCTCTTCTGACACTCATTCTGGCATGCTGACTGGCATATCTTCTGACATTCTTTCCGGCATATTTTCTGACATTCTCTCTGTCATGCTTTCTGGCATATCTTTTGACTTTCTTTCTGACACTCTATCTGGCGGGCTGTCTTGTCTGAAAACGCCCGCTTTTACGAGAGTGTGCTCGGTCAGTGTAAATAAGTGCGTAGAGTTGAATAAAGAAATATATACACATATAATTGTTGGGGGGAGCTTCTTGTCTCCTCACACTACTCTACCTGATTGTATTGTACTCTTCCGATCTTTGACAGGAAACAGTGAAGCTATTCTTATACGTTAGGGCTTAGAGAACGGTAAAGAGCTTTGAGGGTGAAGGGACTTGGCGTAAGCAGTAGAAGTGCTGCATAGGACCTCTAGTCGTTTGTAAGGAAATTTTTCTGTCAGTTTTTCTTATCTTCTTGCAGTCCGCAAGATGTTGAGCATTTGCATGAAAAATTCAACCTTTCGCCTTCCCAGTTTTCCTGGCACTTAGAATCTAAGCAACCAGAAAGGCAAACACATAAAAATTTAGTTTCTTTTGTTTTGTGGAACAGCTTTGCAGAAACGAAACAAATTAGAACAGTTCTGCTATTTTTGCGGAGGACATAAACCTAAAGCACACTGCATGTTAACGTTCCTCGGTGTCCGGTTTCCCGCTTTAGAGAGTCTAACAACAAAACTAAATATTCAGTCTTCAAAATAGACTTTCCACAAGGCAAAAAGGCTGAATAGTCACTCTCTCAGCGCTTTTCGATCGTTTGTATACCAGGAAACCTAGGAACGTGAAGGGTTGAGTGCCTTTAGTTTGCAGAAGATAAAAAACAAATATCATCGAAATATTTAGTTCTTTACCTTATTCAACTTTTTACTTGGAACATCAAGCTGTCAGAATTCTCAGAAGACTAAACAGACAAATATTTAGTTCTCAAGTTTCGTCGAATTTCCATATACCGAGAAACTTAAGAACG